GGATATATATGGACATATTTTGCATATAATTATATATATTTATATGCGAAACTTTTTTTCTCGGGTGGCTATTGGTTTTTATTTTGCCACAATTTTGTACGCTTTCATACGCTTTTGCTGGAGACAAGGAGATTAGAGAGGAGACGGGAAAGAAGCGATGGTGCTGCCGTCTGGGACTGCCCCCGATATTAGAACTACGGGAACTTCCGTCCCCACTAAAATGTAAGAAATTTGCATCCCCTGGAGCGTATCGCTCTGTGCGATGTATTCGCGAGCGTCGCATGACATCACGTTTTCATTCGGTTATTTAGAAAGGACCAATGTCAGAACGGCCAAAACTTGGTATGTTCTATGTGCTGAAGTATCGAAATGCGCTGTGCGAACGAGGCGATCACAGTAAATTTTATCTATTAAGTACAAAATGAGTGCTAATTTAATTCTCGTAACGAGAAAAGATGGTGCAGCCATTCAAAATAAAAACGGAGACGTATTAGTTCAAAATACATCAGGTAATGTATCTTTTATATCATTTGAGGTTATAAAAGAGATCAAAGCATATTCCATTTATGTATATTTATATATACTTCTAATTTGTAATAAAAATAATAAATGAGGAAAAGAGAAAGATGATCAGACTGATCCAGACATTATCGTACCAATCAAGATAGTGCATATACTGTAGTATGAATAAGTAGAACAAAAAATAAATAACATTTTCATTATTATTTCAGATGGTAAAATTGATTTTATTAAATTTTAGATCGCGTTACAAATATTTAATTTTGAAAATAAGAATTCTGAAATGGATATTGCACCAACAACCAGTCCTGTTTCACACGCCGATAAATCACAATCTATTGCGACAGAATTAACGTCATCTCCAATAATGGTAGAAAACAAACAATCTGATCGAAATCATTGGAATAGATCGCAAATTTTGAATTTAATTAAAGCTTATAAAAATCATAAATCACAATTTCAATTCACGGTCATGAGGAATGACAAAGTCTGGCAAATAATCAGTGCGGAACTAGGATATCATACTAATGACCAATGTAGTAATAAAATTAATCAGTGCGGAACAAGGATATCATACTAATGACCAATGTAGTAATAAAATTAAATATTTAAAAGCTCTATGTATAAAAAAGGACAATATGTCAAACAAACAAACAGGTGCAAGAAGAAATTCGATTATTTTGAAAAATTTGACGCAACATTCGACAACGACGCAAATGTGAAATCCGTTGCTATTGCTTCATCATCGAAAGGATTGAAAAATGTTCCTTTACAAGAAATTGATATATCCAATGAAAATTAAAGTACCACGGACGAAGATTTTTAACTATCCAAAAAACCGTAAACGGAGCCTGCTTGAAAAACAATCGATATTGTATGAATCAAATATAGCAGAAAGGAAAAAGCTCAGAGAAACAGCAACATAAAGATAAAATGGAAAGGCAAGACAAAACCACCGCCGTATTAACTCAAATTGCTGATTGTTTTGCGATTTACGTTGAAAAGAAAAGGTAAAAATCATTCCATTATTCTTATATACATATAAATTTACATAACTAATAAATATATATAACTAATAAATAACATATAACTAATAAGTAGGTATACAGAGAGAGGCGTCGTTGGGGTCCGGTCCTTGCAAAGCACCGAAGTTTCGGAGGAAGCGGATTGGGATCCGGAAAAGGATGGTAACCTGAGGCAGCAGCCCGGGGTAGAACAGAGAACCATCCTGGAGCCCTGGAGTCCGTTCCGGAATTGGAGCAGGAAAATCTGCAGAATATTTCCCTAAAGAAGATTGTCGGGACGACAATCTCGAAGAAGGGGGGTTGCGCTCATCGCAGAGTGACACTTGCGCGCGAGTCGAAGTCGGCACTTCCGGACGCGCGCGGGAGAAATAAATATAAAAAACGAACGAAATGTTTATTGCTAATTAAAATCGTCTTTAAATGTCGCAAGCGGTATTTTATAACGTTCACGTCAAAAGGAACAACAACATATAACGTTGCCCCCGGCAACCGTCTTCTTCTTTGTACGCTTCGCGCGATACTTTGCGCGATCGCTCGACTCAAGTCACAATTAGATACAGGGGCGCAACAATACATATTTTATTTTTGAACAATATACATATATAAATATATGTACAGGGTGTTGCATATACATATTTGGCAGGGGCGCAACAATACATATTTTATTTTTGAACAATATACATATATAAATATATATACAGGGTGTTGCATATACATATTTGGCAGTATGACGAGTTGCGCGGCAGACTTTGCCCTTTTGCAGGGGCAGACGCGGCTCAATAATACTAAAAATTTTAAAAGTACTAAAAACTAAAGTAAATGCTAAATAATCATTACTTACAGTAGCTAATAAGGGCCGGTTCTAACTCAGGAGCTCCGAGGGAGGTGAGAGGCAGGGGGGTCCGCGGGG